GGGTGCCCTTCCCCGAGAAGGAGGGTGACGGGGGTCACCGCCCGAAGCGGGGTGGGGAGTGTCTGTGGCCGAGCACCGCAGACCTCTGCCAAGAGATGCTGGAACCCTGCGCCGGGTGAGATTTGCTCTGAGCGTGTTTTCGTTGTCGTTTCAGGAGTCCCCGAAGTCTGCCAAAAGCACCACAAAGCCCGGCGGCAGCGGCGGTAGCGGGAAGGATGGCGGGGCAGAGAATTCGGAAGAGGTAAGGCTTTCGCCTTGGGTACGGCAGCGTGCCTGTGCAGCTCGTCTTCGAGGAGGAAAACGCCTTTCATTGTAGCTGCCTCAAGCTGCTGTGCCAGATAACGCGTGTCGCCGGGATCGTAAGGCGTCGGAGAAGACAGCAGCAAAGACGAAAGTTAAGATGAAGTTGGTTCCCCTGGAAAGTTGGCCCAAATGCATCGGCAACTGTGGAAGAGACAGGATGAGTCTCATACCCTGCAGCCCTGCAAAAAGAGATTTGGCACAAAGCTGACAGCGAGCGCTGCTCGCAGAGGTGGGCAGAGCGTGGAAAAGTTGGCTGCAGAGAGGGGAGAGCCACGGTTACCAAGAAGGAGGGAGCCTGACAGACGCGAGCAGCTTCCTTGCTCCTGTCAGAGCAGAGCGCAATAAACTCCTTGTTTGTCACCTTGTGTCGGAGTGGGAGAGTAGGGAGAAGCAATAGAAAAGGAACGTGTTCTTCTGAGGCGTTTTCTGGGGGAGTCAGATTAGGAAGTAATAGATAGGACACCTGAAAGAATAGAGGTAATTAAATGGTTCTCCTTTGGTAGAACAGCCTTATTACTGAGCACGGACTTACTCACAAGGAGGCACAGTCTGTGTTCCCAGCTGTGCGGAGTCTTTCGCTCTCAGTTTTGATGTTGCCAACCTAGACACGTTAGAATGGCCTTGGCAGAGCGTGATAATACGATACGCTGTGCTCACAAGGGGCAAAAATTAGGGTAAACCAGAACTTTTCTGGTAGACTTGAGTTTGTCCGGCACTCAAACAGTGTGGTTGTGGATTTTGAGACTTGGCTCGGAAAAGCGTTGTACGCGTGTCCAAGGAAGTGTGCATCTGTGTATGGGATTTGGTTGGGGGTTTTTTTGATACTGCAGTTTGGCAAACGAGCTGTGCCACTTACATGTCTGGAGAAGCCTGTGTGCTCAATTCTTGTCTGGAACACGTTGCACATGTGATTTAGAGGTTTCAGGATAGGAGGCATGTAAGACTACTGAAGACTAGGAAGAAATCCGTAGTTCGGTGGGGTGGTCGTGGTCAAAATAAGGTTATTTTGGAGTCTTATTCAAAGCACAGATCTGTGTTGCAGAGCCTCAGAAAATATCCCTGCTACTAGCCACTTGGTTTCAGGGTCCAAGCCATGCCCGTGCCTGACCTGCTGTGTGGCCAGCAAGGAATCAGAAGCGGAGTTTGTTTGCCTTGGAGAAGGTAGCAGTTTTGTAGATCCTCTTTTTGTATCCCGTCCTGGTCTTGGCCTCTGCCCATTTTATTTTGTGTATACAGCTGAAAACAGCTTGCTGGGACAGCTGTCTGCCGACTCCGAGGAAGCGAGAGAACTCCTGCCTTGGCATCGTGGGGTCGGGCTTACCTTTTATTTATTTGGCACTCTGCTGAGATCACAGCTCTGGGAAGAGGAAGGAAAGCCTGGGTCTTGCGACGCAAGGGTGACGGATAGCCATCAAAGCAGGGCGCTCTGATGTCCCCATCCACATCAGCCAGCGGTGGGCTGTGATGCTGCTCTCCTGGTTGCAAGCGTTGCAGTAAGAGAGGAAGAATAGTGCAGGCTACAAGCTTCCTTCGGTGGCCTGAAACGGCGTGTAATGTCTGGTTGTGCCTGGGTGCAGGAGAAACTTAGAAGTGATGCGTCTAACCTTCCCTCCCACAAGACATACCCAGCCACTTCCTCATACTCCAGACAAAATCCAGCCCTACTTTTAGATGGAAGGCTGGGTCTCCTTTGATCATAGGAACAGAGAGCAGAGCAGGAAGGAGACACCTCTGCAGTGTGCGCTGCCACAGGTCTCTTCTCCCTTTCCCTGTTGAGTTCGCGGTGACGTTTGTTCTCTCTTGGTGCTTTCCTGTCGCCGGACTGCTCTGCTGCAGAATGGAAGAGAGCTCCTTGCTTGATAAGAAGAAATGTATGCCAGTTTGAATGCGATTTTCCTGCTCTTCAGGAAACACAGAAAGGTATTTTGACTTTCACATTGGGGGACCGTGAGGAATTAGGTAACGTGTGCTGGTAGCAAGACTCCTTCCGTGTGTCAGAAGCAGGTGGTGGTCTGACTCATGAGACACCAGGAGTGGTATTGCCTGGTGGGCTTGATGGCCTGGACCTAGCCTGGGTGCCTCTGCTGCCATTGTGAGAGTTTTGTGCCCTGTAAATTCCTCCCTGGAGTTAGAGTTGGTTGGTTGCCTTTTCTAGAGTGAAAGTTGCATGCACTGAAGAGAATTTTCTTTTTTATTCATATTTCAATACATGCTTAATGGCCTTGCAGCAGGAGAGCAGTGTTTGGGCAGCGCTCTTCAGTGTGCGCTTTCCTTTCTCACACCATGCTCCAAGGAGCAGGGGAGGACTCAGCCCTAATTTATCCTGGTACCAGAAAGTTGTGACTTGTTTTGTAGGCAAGTTGTCTGGCTGGTGGAATGAGTAAAGCTTGTTGAAGAGCAGCTCTGGTTTGGCAGATCTGAGCAGCTGTGGCAGATGAGGATCTTCTATGGGGATCTCTGTGGAGGGAGATGAAGAGGGTAGGAGTCAGTCCAGAAACCCTTAAGCGTCGTGCTTTGTTCTCTGCAGCGAAGGAGCTTTTAGTGGAGCTGATCTGGAAGGGCGGATATGTTCAAAAGCAGACGCAACCCCACAAGGGAAGGCAAGTGTTTTAGTTCCCTCGTAAGTACAGGGATAGTTCTGTGCTCTTTTGTGGGGTGAAGCTATCTGAGGTGAAGAGGCAGCAGAGCTTGGCCAGCCCCTGGTTTTATGGGGGCAGTTTGCTCAGGAAGAGATAGGAGCAGTGGAGGAAAACACAAGAGCAGAGAGTGGGAAAGGAAAGGTTTGTTTAGTTCGTTCCCTCTGGAATATGATGAAGATACGAATGTGGAGAATTTCTGTGTGGCTATTTAAGGAGAAAAAAGAAATAACGTCAGAGACCAAGGCAGCGCTGAATGAGAGCATGAGAAATAGTTACTCCTCCTGGCCAGAAAGACTGGGAGAGGCAGCTGGGTGGGGAAGAGAGTTAATGACCTGGAAGTGGGAGCAGGGATTAGCAGCAGCAGTAAAGAGGAGAGAGGAGTTGCTCTGCAGCCTCAAGGGCAGCTTGGAGCCTCGCTGGTGAGATTTGCAGCTCTGGGAGAGGGTGCTCCTTTTCACTGAGCTGCTGTATTACGTGTTTTGCAGATATCTCCATGGGGCTTGTTACTGCAGTACCAGGAGTTCATTATTCAGACAGGCGTTACAGTGTGTTGATGTTGCTTCTGAGGCAGAGAGCTGGATTTTAATAGGGAAGCTGTGTAACAGCAGACAAAGAGAGCAGGTACTGACTTGAGG